CAAGTAAATCCTCGCACTTTCCGTGAACCCATCTAGAACGAGACTCTCATCGATATTACATAGAATAATAATGACCTTCGCATTGGAAATGCAATGATATCATTTCATTACATTGAACAATATTTATAACAAAATACAAAGGAACAAAAACGAGGCACAACAATTCAAATCACTATTTTCTCAATGCGTATTCTAACCACCAAAATTCAGTCGACACTGTGGAAATACTTAGAATCAAAATAAGATTAAATTCCGGAAAACTTGAATACATGACGAAAGATGAAAAATTCCCACTTAAACAACAAAAAAGACTGCAATATGAGGGTGAAAACGAGGAACTGCCTATGAAACAAAAAGAATAAATGTGAATTAAAGTTACAAGTAAATTTCGAACCGTTGACAGTGCTGACATTTGATGATATGATCACCGACGTCATACAATCGAAGGCATTTTGGACATTTCCTAAGCGAGTAGCACGTTTCGCACAGACCTTCCATTCGTTGTGTATCGGTGCTACTCGCGATCGGTGTTGAGCATCGCCGGCAAGTGGCACACCTTCAAAACAATTTAGTTTACTTGAGAAACATATTCAATACGCCTTCGTTTCTTTTCATTCACTATCATTTAATTTCGTTTCAGAACAATATCAAAACTGCACTCAACCGAATCATTTCATCAATATATCCAAAAAAACACTGTTTCAATTCAAAGCAACGATAAACACAAACAATTCAGAGAATACTAAAATGTCTTCAGTGCACAAAACTGATATGTTAATGATAGCAGCAAAACCAACAACAAATAACTAAAAAGCAATGAACATCAATAGCAAATGAATACAAATGCCTGACCATTTACATCGCCACGAACCATGCGGAATCCGTTCGAGCGGAGGATCAAGACAATAGATATGGTACGAGACATCGCATTCATCACACAGCAACAAATTCGACTCATCACGACCGTCACCACATCCTTCACACACTGTACAGTCCAAACAACGCCAACCACGTTTCACCACCGTTGAATTCAGCTGAAACATTAAAATATTGAGATATAAATGATGTAAACCATTTACGTCTGATGATTTAAGTCGATTATTTATACTTATAAGCTTACAATTAGATATCTCACCTAGTTCATGTTATTACAAATCTAAAAGTGCAAACTGCAATAACAATGATAACAATTCCAATAACAAATAATGATAACGAACTCACGAATACAGTAATAACATAAAACAGCTATTCAAAATAAGGTTATCTAAAATTTACCCGTCTTCAAGTAACCACTTCAACTGAACTAATCAAGAATTGGATGGAGAAAAGAACTAGAATATCGAACCTTATCATGAAGACCGACACAGTAGGTGTGATAGTTCTGTGCACACGTCGCACAAGCTACCATCGTTCCCTCGGAATCCTTACCGATACTGCCACAGATTAAACATACAGGCATTTGCATGAAGTACGTATGCTCTGATGATGTGACGACCACCGTTCGGATGTAATCGTTATCTTCCACTCGATTCTTACTCTCATCCGTCTCACCGTTCTCTTGGTTATGCTGTAAGATGATCGATCGTTTGATTGATTACTTTGAAATTTTCGCAGAATTACGCAAATTATATTATTTTTGCCACAATTTCATTTCAGCTTTGCATATCTTCATTCATTAGGACATACTGAATACGTGAATGGAGCGAAATTCTAAATACTTCACCAACACATTCGTAATAGAATTTCGTTAAGATAAATCACACAAATATCAAAAGCTAATCACCTGCTCAGCAGCCTCACGACCGGCAGCACTCGAAGCAACAAGCGCCAACATTGACGACGTCTTACCACCTCTGCAATATTTCACTCTTCAGTATAATTTCATTGTAAATTTCCAAAACAAAATTCGACTACTCAAAATAAAAGTGAACACGGAATCGTAACATTTTCATGAAGAAACTCCTCTTCTGTAATAACGAACAATCATTCATTTCAAAGTTTCGAGAACAGTAAATCTTCAAAGAGCAATATAAAACCAAAAAAGTGCAAATTCATAAATTCAAGTTTCCGGAAGAATTTCAAGTTTTCGAGTTACAATCGATAAGAAATTCGCATTCAGTTATCAGAAGGAAGGCACAAGAAATAAACAAAGCACATTCACCTCGGTCTTCGTCCCCGTGTCCCTTTACCATTCTTATAGCCATTCCGACCGCCTCGTTTACCTCGCATCGACACCGTACCATTGCTGCTGTGCTCAGTCAAGTCACTGTGTGATGCTCGACCACGCATCATCGAACCTCGTCCACTGTACGGTTTCTTCTTGCCACCTCCACGACCACCTCGTCCCGAATGCGGTTGATACGGCAAGCTGTCGCTTTTTTCACGTCTTCAAAGGGTGATCATTTGATTCACATCGCAAAAAAACATCAATTTCAATTCGAATAAACAAAATTCTCAAACAAATAAAAATATCTATGCGAAGACTTATATGAATACTGAATAGTAATAAGTGAAAATCTGAATGAGAATAATTGGGGTGATTTGATGAACATAGCTGTAACAATTATCAATTTACAACAGCAGCAGATAATCAATTATAACAGCTTAATCAAGGAAACAATTCAGATTGACAGTTTAGGAAACCTCAAATATCAACCCCAATGGAACAACCTTGAAACTGATATGAAAAAGAAATAATAACAGATCCAGAATAATCAAACAAATTCACCCGGTAATAAAAATTTTAAAAACAGAATAATTTTTGTAAAAATAACCTCAGCGGTGGTCGAAAATCATCGGTATCACTCGAGGCCGTATTGTCGAGAAAGAAGGCCGGAGAGGCTCGTGCCGAATTGCTTGCGGTTGTTGTCACGGTGGTTGTGGCTGGTGAAGACATTGCCGACGTGTCGCCACGACCTGAAATTACAGAGTTGAGCGAAAAGTTTTCTGATTTCTCGTTTGTTATTTCGAATCAACTTTTTACTTCACCAAGTAGATTCCTTCTCTGATATCCTCAATCCTTCCATGATTCCATTCATCACAATTACATTACTTCAACAGCACTTAA